TAAGTACGTCTCCGCCGATGAGCGAATTCTCAAAATTGTGAGAGAATTCGGTCCGAGGACCACGGTGGACTATTTGCGTGGGCTGGCACGGAATTTCAGGATGCAGGCATCGAACAGCGGACCGCAGACTGCCCCTGAATCGCCGGAATCAGAGTCACGTGACACGTCTAGGCCTCGCGCGTCCGAATGTCAATACGCACAGATGAGCTTAAAGACTCGCTCATCCCCGATAGTATGGTTTGAGCGGAGAATTCAGAGACCTAACTTGGAGAATAGGATGCACCTCCGATGCCGTCCGTGTTCGTATCGAGTGTTTTTTTTCTTCGCCAAGAGCATGATAATCTTCATACGCAGATGGATCCACTCAGAACTCATGATTCGCTCTCGGAAGCCTACGGGGAAGTATTTCCGGCGTTTCCGTCTAGTCGTAATCCAGATTGTCGTTCCACTGGAGCCGAGCGATTGGGACGAGAATTGGAGATAAACCGGAAGCCGTTCACCGGACAACCAAGACTTCCGCGAGCTAACAATTCTGCGCCCAAATGGCTCGCGCCCAAACGGCTCTGCGCCCAAACGGCTCTGCGCCGAAATGGGTCGCGCTTAAACAGCCGCGCCAAAACGGTCGCGCCCAAGTGGGGCGCTCCGCATGAGCCCGCCGCCGCCGTTTTCGGGGGAAGAGCAGGGCGCGACTCCGAAAAAGAGGCGCCCCCCGGAGCAAGAAGCGGCCTCCCCGGAGCAAGAAGCGGCCTCCCCCTCCCGGGACAAGGAGCGCCCCCCTCGGAACGAGCAGCCGCCCCCCCCCCCCCCCCGAAGCGAGGAGCGATCCGTTCGGAAAGTAAAAGAGCTTTCCGGATAAAGAAGTCGCGTGACACACGATGAACATATGCTTCATAGACATGTTGATATGTAAATATATCGAAGGGAAAAGGATAAATCGAATAAATTAGAATAAATTATGCATATCGAATTGAATTGAATTTGAATTGAATTGAATTTGAATTGAATTTATTTAGGTTGTTGTAGGTGGGGGCGCATAGCACTCCCGCAGGCCAGAGCCGCATGTTGGGTCGTTACGACTACTGAGAGAGCAAGTACTCCCAGAGTTTTCGCTTGAACAGAGGGTTAGTGAAAGGCTCCCTAATTTCATATGGGAGACCGTTCCAAACTTCAGCTATTTGGTAGAAGGGGGAGGTACGGGGAAAGGCGAAAAGGACAAGAGGCTGTTTCACCAGAAGACTTCGGCAGGGTCTGCCGGAGACAGTTAGTTGTGGGGAGAAGGAGAGGGGAGATAGATTGGGACGACGAAGGCAGTCGAACGCAAGATAAGCCGTGCGGTAAATGTAAAGGCGGTCGGGGGAAGGACGTAGTAGTCTCCCACCTTGAAAAGGTGGGAGACTTGGGAACGAGGGGGAAGAGCAAGGATAGCTCGAAGACCGTTTTTCTGAGCAGTGAGGATTGGGCGAGAGGCGGTGGCGGAGAGAGGGGGGTACCAGACCGCTACAGAGTAAAGCACAGTACCATCAATAAGCGAACAGAAGAACCTGAGCAGCATTGAGCGGCTGTAGCCAAGCCGACGAAGTCTGTTTAGGCAATAGACTGAGGAATCTAACTCGCGCCGAAGGCGCTAAACATGGTGCTTACAGGAGAAGTAGGTGTCAAGCGAAACACCGGGGCAGACGTCAGTATCAGAGAAAGAGAGCAGGAGTCCATTTAGGAGAATGGAGTCGGGAGAAACGAAGATCTTAGAGGATCTCGGCCGGAAGCAGAGAGCGCCTGTCTTGGCAGTATTGACAACGAGTTTGAGAGAGCAGAAATAGTCGATGGTGAGCTGGAGGAGGGAGTTTGACTCGGCTGTGCCTGATTGAGCAGAGTCTCGATGGAGGCGATGAAGAAGGGTGGTGTCATCAGCAAAGGCGACAGTCACAAAGTTCGGTGAGAGTGAGTTTGCATAGACGAGGAAAGAGTTTATGTAGATGACGAACAAGAAAGGTACCAATACCGATCCCTGCGGGACTTCATGTGAGACCGGGGAGGCAGAAGACAGGGAGCCCGAGGCAGTAGTGCGCACGGCAGGCCAAGAAGGATGAGAACAGTTTGCCGAACGCCGGTCAGCCCCGAGGGAGCAAAGAGTGTGCACTAGGATATCGTGATCCAGGCTATCAAACGCCTTTGCAAGATCAACAAACACCGCAACGACGTGAGAACCATCAGCCCAACCGTCCAGAACCAACTGCTTGATCTGCAGCAGGGCGCTCTCGGTGGACCTACGCGGAAGAAAGCCATGCTGATGGTCAGAGAGAAGGCTAGACTTGAGTAGGAAGGACTGTAGTTGGCCAAGGATGCACTTTTCGAGGAGCTTGGAGAGGTATGAGGTAAGACTAATAGGTCGGTAATTCCCGGGGTCGTCAGGCCTACCCTTACCTTTGTAGATAGGGACGAGCAAGGCCTCCTTGAAACAGGAGGGAAAGGTTGCGTGACGAATGGAGAGGGTAGAAATGAAGGCAATAGGTTCTGAGAGTGTGAAGATGGAGTTGAACAGAACTCTGGATGGCAGGGAAGAGATTGATCCAGCATAAATGGTTTTGATTCCCGTACAGGTGGTCTGGAGGGAGCGAATAAGTCAGAACAATTTCGAACAAATTAGAATAAATTATGCATATCGAATAAATTCGCTTTTTCCGTCTGCTACCGACGTAGACACGTGTTCTGCATCAGTGCTCCCAAATTAATGAGTTTTCCTGTGTGAATTCCCAAGTAACTCGTGACTGTGGAAGCTGTAAACCACCAGTACCTCCCACTCATCCTTCCTGATCATATCCTGCGGGAGAAATCGAAGGCTGACGGGTCAAATCACGGAGTCATCGAGGATGCGCTGGCGTCATGCCGGAGCCGTGCCCGATGCATGATTATCCCTCCCTATTCTGATCTGAACCACGAGCTCAGAGAAGGCCGACCGCGTAAGCCACGATGGAAGGTAATGGGGACAAGACCACTCCTCACGAATACGCGCTCAAGGCGTTAAAGGAACCGCTGTTTCAAGAGAACTGCGAGAGGAGTCAGAGAGAACAGCTGATGTTCCAAGAATGGCAGTACGTTTGCCGGCGATGGGAAGATACAAACAAAGTGATCACCAGTTTACAAGGAAACAACCAACAACTGAACTCAGCGATCGAGGTACTGAGAAAACGTTTTGACACTCATATTCAACATATTCCAATATCGAAATTCCCAGGGAATATATCCCAGGCTGAGCGGGAAAAACCGGAGCGCACGAAATCGTTCTCAGATGCGCCGGAGTTCTTCACAGACGAAGAATAGCTGGCCAGAGAGACGGAATGTATTAGAGTGAAAAACAAGAAAAAGAGACCGGGAGAGTGTCTGTCGAACGAATCGCCGGAATGCGAGAAAGCAGAGAAATCAGCGGATGAAATCCGACGAGATGCGAAGCCACCCCCCATCATTGTGGACGGAATAGAATCATATGAGAAGCTCTATGAATCTCTAGCGAGAGCCACGGAGGACAAATTCCAAGCGAAGCTCATCAGTGATACCAGAGCGAAAATCAACTGCAACGACGCAGACTCCTACAGACCGGCGACGGGAGTTCTGAATGTGAATAAGTTGGCCTACGATACCTACGAGAACTAGCAGACCAGACCGATAGGAGTCACGGCGAAAAACCAACATCTATCTTTCTTCTTTCTATATATATAAAAACGTATGTCTGTTTGTCTGTATGTCCGGGGTACCCTATACATAGACTCGAAAACGGCTGAACCGATCGTCGTGAAAATTTAGGAGCGTGTTCTGGGGGATCCAGCGGTGGTTATAGGGGAGTCGGTTCTCCGATGCGATGAGTCCTTCTACCTTGAAAAAATTATTTGAGTGCCCCACCCACGAAAATACGAAAACTCGGAAAAAATTAAAAAATCGGAAATTCGCAAAATTCACAAACGCCTGAACCGATCGCCGTGAAAATTCGGGGGTGGGTTCCCGGGAGCTTCAGGAGGGTCATATGAGGGTCGTCGTTCCCATGTGATGGGTCCTTCCACCATAAAAAAATTATTTGAGTGGTCTTCTCACCGAGAATCAAAGATTTCATCAAGGGGAAGACGGGAATTCTCAGGATTTCTTATCGGCTGGACCACTGTGAGGGGGTGGATTCTCGGGAGCTCCTAAGAAGGCTATCGGGGGTTGCCGTCGTCATTGGCCTCTGTCTCTCAACTAATGAATCTCGCTGAAAATTGCTGTAGCCTTGAAGGGTATAGATTTTCCGGAGAACATGTGGAATAAAAACGAGGGTACGGGAAAGTGGGGAAACGGAAAAGCGGGGACACGGGGGAAAGGGGAGACGGGAGAGTAGGGAAACGGGAAGTAGGGAAACGGGAACG